CCTAAATCCCTCAATCCCTTCATTGCCGCCCTTTTACCTTTCTCTATTTCACATCTCACCCTTTTGCCTGAAACTGGAGTCTGGACTGCTACTGCACCTTTGCTGCTACTGCGCCATGGCATTGCACCACGACTACTGTTGCGCCACTACTGCTGCTGCTCAAAGTCGGAGTCGAAGTCGATTTGTGGACTGTTGAATTGCCTCTGCGACTGTTGCTAAGCTGTTGAACCATCTTTGCTGTCGAACCACTCCACCTACTGGTAGAAGCTACATATCCAAATGGTAAGAAGTTTAAATAATTTGTTTATGGGTTGATTTCACATAGAGAAAGTTTGAATTTTTTAGAATTTGCTAGATTCATTGACTGCTTATAGCCATTTCCATTAGTGAATTGCCTAGTTAATTTCTTTACATACAATGATATATATATATATATATATATAACATAAAAAAGTGTAGTAGCTTCTCAATAAAATCAAGAAATTGAGAAAATTATGAATGCTTGGTTGTCTATTTAATTTCTAGAGTCTATGTGAATTTTAGTAAAACTGTGATTTTGATTTATGTTTGATGTAAGAAATGTATATTTAGATATTAATTAGTGGGGAATGGGGATGGGAGGCAAAATCTGCCCCCAGTCAAAAATCCCCGTGGGAATCTCCATCCTCGTCATTCGCGAGGATGGGGACGGTGAGGGACTCCTCAACCTCGCGAGATCTCGTTGACATCCCTATTAATAGGCTATTAGTTGACTATTAGTTGATAAAAATCTACTTTCAGCTAACAAAATTAATAGTCAATATAAAGTGAGAGCTATTTTCTTTGATTTTAGAATGTGAGAGATTAAAACCTACAAATCTAATAAGGTAAGGGGCTAAAAGTGTTATAGTATAAAATAAGGGACTAAAACCTTCAAACTTAATAAGATGAGGGGCTAAAATAAATTTTTACCTTAGAAATGGGTCGAATTGACCCCTTTAACTAAGAAGTAAGGACAATGCACAACCTATCACCAGTGACCTCTCTACCTATACAAATACATATATAAATTTTATTTTTTTAAATTTAAAAATATAAAATTTATTAATTTTTAAATAAATTAATATATTTTTTATTTTTATTTTTATTTTTATTTTTATTTAAAAAAAATAATTTTATATTTAAATTTAAAAATTATTTTAATAATTTTCCTAAAATTTCTCACTCAAAATGAAATAAGGTTTTCAGCTTTGTCCTTACACGCACATATGAATATATGATGTGAAAGTATACATGGCCATCTCAATTGGGCCCTTTCGGTAGGCTAGAAGCCTAAAACTGGCAAATCTTGTTGAAGATAGGAGCCTATAGTTGGCCTAGATATAAATTATTGGGTCGGTCCTATAACCGCCTGTTTACCTAAAGGCAGGGATGGCTTTCTTTGATTGCTCTCAGTTTCGATTCAAGTCTCGGCTCTAGCAACACCAATCTGCACTGTTCTTTTTTCTTTTTTTTTTTCTTTTTGATAGTAGAGAATTTAAGAGAAGGAAAACTAAGTATAGAATCTAGATTTTAAGTGTCTGAACATTTTTTTTATTGGGTGGTTAGTAAATTATTATGGGTTAAAACCCCGATTCAGTCTTTCAACTTTCATTTTTGAACTAAAACTACTCTCGAACTTCAAAAAATACTAAAAAAATCCTTGAACTTCAATTTTTGGAATCAATTTCGTCCTTCCGTCGACAAAAGTGCCAGATGCACATTAAGTTGCCACGAAATCAAGCTTTTTTTTTTCAACTAATGATATGGAAAAACCACATGTAAAAGTGTATGAGTTGGCATTTTATCTTTAAAATTACACAATTATCCCTTATCTTCAATTTTTTATATTTGTTGAAGTTACCAAAATACCCTTATCTTCAACCTCACTAATCCCTCACTTTTCACGATCTCCTTCAACCTCTCTTCAATTCATCATCTTTTTTCTTTTTTCCCTTCTTTTTCTTTTTTTCTTTTTCTCCTTCCCTGCCTACTAGGTTCCTTCATTTACGCTTGGGTTCCTCGAACCCGGGCGAGGGTTCAAGTCGAACACGCCTGGGTTTTTTCTTCTGTTTCTTTGTTCTTCTGTTTCTTTGTTGGCTGCAGTGATGCTTGACTATCTTGGTATGGGATTTAGAGTTTTGATATGGGTTCTGCTTGCTTGAATTTCAAGGTTCAGTTAATGTTGGTGTTGATTGAAGGGATGTTGTGTTTTTTGTTTTTTGTTTTTTATACAGATTTGGTATAAGTTTGCAATATGATTAATTTGTTGAATTTTTATAAATTTGATATAAGTTTACAGTGTAATTGATTTTTTGAATAAATCTATTAGCCATTATTATTGTGTGAGGAACTAGATTTGGGTCCCATTAGAGAGGAGGTTTGGGAGGTTTGGGGAAGAAGGAGATGGTGATTGGAGTGGAAAGAGATGACCGGAGCAATGAGGGATAATCGGTGTTGATTGGGGGTATTTAAGAAATTTTAAATTTTTTAATATATAAATTAATTAAAATGATGTGGATAATAAGTTATTTTTCATGTAATTAAAGATTTCAAACAATAATTGATTTCGTGGCAACTTAACCATGCCATTTGGTACTTCCGTCGAAGGAAGGTCAAAATTGGTCCAAAAAATTGAAGTTCAAGGATTTTTTTAGTACTTTTTGAAGTTCGAGGGTAGTTTTAGTTCAAAAATGAAAGTTGAGGGACTGAATCAGGGTTTTAACCAATTACTATGTGTTACACAATTTGTACTGTTCTATTGTAGCAAGTCATAATTGTAAGTTTAATTACAATGCTACCTATTATTATAATTATATTATTATTGTAAAAAAAATCTTCATAATATTAATCCTAATTAACTTTCTTTAATATATCATTAAACAAAAAAACAAAAGAAAAAAGAAAAAGAAAAAACTTCCTTACATAGCTATCAACTCAGTTTGTTAATTGACATTATTTTTTTTAATAGAGTAAAATATAAGTATGGTATATAAATTACTCACGGACAGATATATCAACTTCAATACGTTACAAAATTTAAGATAAATCTAAATAATACACATTATATACAAGAATTGAATACATAATTTCAAAGTTATGAAGTCTTAGTTTTTATTATTAATTGATATTAATTGTACCTAATAAATCAAAAAAGCCATATCATTTAGAAGTATTAATCATGTTTTCTAAGTCTTCCCCATGAGACTCATGTTGCGACACAAAAGAAGGTGACAAAGATGGATTGTAGGAATACCATGAAGACCAGAAGAGATAATTGGAAAAATTGACCAAGCTAAGACCACCCAACATCCAGTAGAACAGATCCAACCTATCCTTATTCAGATCATTCTCACCAAGCCACCCTCCATGTCGAGATGAAGAAGATGTGATTCTGTTCACCAAGGAAACCAGAATCGAACTCAGATAAAAACCGAACGAGTACGAGCAGTATGTCATTGCTGTTAAAAAAGATTGCATCCCTTCCAAAGACTGACTGTAAAAAAACTCTATCAGCCCCACCGCTGTGAACATCTCTGACAATCCGAATATCAGAAACTGCGGAGCAATCCAGAAGATGGACAGAGTTTGGTTCCCACTCAATGCATTGTCCCTCCTCTTCTTCTCCACTACGGCAGCTGCCACCATTGAGAATGTTGCGGTAAACAGCCCGACACCAACCCTTTGGAGAGGGGTGATACCGGATTCTGTTCCAGTGATCTTTCGGGCGGTGGGGACGAATAGGGTTTCGTAGAGTGGGACGAGGAAGATGAGCATGATGTAGGGGATGGATTGGAGGGAGGCTGGGGGGATTTTGAGGGTCTTGGTGAAGTGGGTGTTCATGGCGGCTCCCTGTTGGACGGAGAAGGTTTGGAGTTGTGCTAAGATGGTGTTGAACATTATGGTGCATGCAAAAATGGGGATAACGGAGATGAGGATCTTTACTTGTTCGACTTGGGTGATGGTGCAGAGCTTCCATGGACTCTCTTTTCTTCCATCCTGAATTTTGATGCAGGCCTTATCAAGCAATCTGCAGGCCAAAAATTAAACACCATAAGTTAACGGGCTATGCTTAGTATTACATTTGGATGTTTAAACCACCATGACACATTAGCTTCAAATCAAAGTTCAAACCGATAGAGAGAAGGAGATTTCCACTTTTTTTGACGATTTTGTTTATTTTTTGGTACTTAAGCTAGCTCCTTAATTAGTATGCAAATGATTAAGAGTTTTGTAGTTTGTAATTTAAATAAAATTATTTTTTAAAAGATCTATATTCATTTAATTATATGAGTTATGCAGTTAAAATTATAAAATATTTTTTTAATAATTAAACCCTAATGACATTAATATGTTCTGTGAATTAATAAAATATAGTAAATTAATATCTATATTATTTTTTCTTTTGCTTGAAAATTTTGAACCCACCTGAATTTATCAGTGTGGAGAAGGTTGGTGACATTTGGTGATGCAGAGAGAAGGCGGTTTTGCACATTATTTTGGCTTCCACCATAAAGCATTTCTATGTTTGAAGGACAGATTTGCTTTCTCTTTGATATTGCTGCAACAAAGACCTGATCGAATCACGAACAAACAATGATTACTTAATTAGCTCACTGTTGATAGATGGTGACTCATGCCAAAACATGGTCATCAGCATTTTGATAAATCTACACCAACTGAAATTTAGCCTCAATTAACCGTCCAAACCTTAAAATAATGTGTGCTTTGACTGTCCTAAATAAAATCATCCGACAAGACATGACCAAGGATTACCAAATGGGCTTTCCAATCAGGTGCAAAAGAAAAGGCAAAAACCAAAAAGAAGATTTCATTCATCAGCATATAAACAGAACAGGGACGATGTAAGGGAAAAATTAATGAGAGGTAAAATGGGGCCTTACTAAAGCTATTCTATGTTTCATCTTTTAGTTTTTCTTCGGTTAAAAGTGATTGTTAGTCATACCCAATCAATTAGGAGTTTTTTAATTAAAAAAACTGCATCATTTTAGTAAACACCCTTCTACTTCCTCCTAAACTGATATGAAGGGGTAAGTCGTTTTTGAATCAAACAAACAATATGAGGATAAAAATTGATTGAACCTTTGATCACAAAGTTCCCCATTGTTAGGAGGGGAAGAATTAATTATTACCTGAGCAATTGGGGTGAAGATACTTCCTCGAGGCGGTGTGTTCCTATAACGAGGTGTGCCAGAAATGAAGCTGATCATGCCAATTGCCATGACAGCAGCCGAGGCTCCAAACCCCACGTCCATACCGGAGTGAGTCTGGACCCAAATTAGAAGGGTAAGAGCAATCAGCTCCCCCATGCAAAATGCAAAGTATGCAGCATTGAAATATGTTGAGAGCTTCTTGGATCGCTTGAATTGGTCAGCACCATGAGATATTATGTTTGGTTTTAGGCATCCACTCCCTAAAGCTACCAAGTAAAGTGCAACAAAGAATATCAAAGACTTGTATCCCATGGCCTCCTGGCAATGCCCTTCATCAGAGATCATGTTGCAATTTGGTGGCCTCAGTTGTGGGAGGTAGGCTTGAATTGAAAGCAGTATAAAACCCTGATTCACACATTTTGGCAAACAATTAGTAGACCCCTTTTCCAAGAAATATATAATCTGTAACGAAAGAAAAATGCAGGAATTTAATATTAATGAGATGAGATCTAAAGGAGAAACAACGATCAAAAATGTCCAAATTGCCAGTAGTGCCATGAAAAGGGTACTTACAGAGAGCTCCACAAGGCCACAGATGAGCATGGTGGAAAAGCTCCCAAGATATGAATCTGAGAGGAACCCACCAAGGAGGGAGAGGAAGAAAACAGTTCCAATAAAATTGGTGACTATGTTTGCAGATTTTGATAAAGGAAAGTGCATCTCATTGAACACATATGTAATCAGATTGTTCCCAACAGCTGCAATTGCCATCATCTCAAATGCTTGCAGCCCTGAATCAAATCAAAATCACCAAAAATTTTGTCATACCCTGACATCAATAACATTAAAAGAACAAAAGAAATGAGAAAATATTGAGCAAAATGGAGTAATACCAAGGACAAAAATAGCAGCAGACATTCCACCATGCTTGTTAGGCTTACAAGGTCTGCCTCTCCAATCAACTGACACCTCCTCTGGAGCCGCAGAAATGGGATCTTCTCCGAGCTTCCTTCCTTCCTTCTCCATATCATTCATAGTATTAAATCACTAAATTGTTTGATGAATCCTATAAAGCAAAAGCTAATTTCTTTCTGATTTTGAGATAGAGGTTTGAAGCTAGCTAGCAAGCCTTGTATTTATAACCTCCTTGTCAAATTGACTTGGCAGTGTTATAGTGGCATGAGGCGCACTATATGTGATGTACTCAAGAAACTTAGCTAAGCAAAGTCAGCTCCCACAAGAAATTGATCATTAGTTAACAAGTTGACATATCTCCAGCAACTGTTAGAAGAGCAAGATCAACTTTTTTCCATATATTTCTTCCGACTAGTACTTGAAATAATGTTAGTGGTTCTAGCTAGGTTCCTATACCGGTGAGCAAGTAATAGATCATTTATCGTGCTTGATATCGTGGTATTGCGCTCATATCCCTAAAGTGGATCATTCTTTTCTGTCCTTAAATCAGTTTTAGAGCATACAATCGAAGTTATAAACTTGATCTAGTAAGGTAACAGGAGAATGGAATAAACAAAAAAATGTTTGATATTTGAATGCTTGGAAGAGGGAAGATTTTGAGCGAGGGAACTATATATTAGTTTTCTTACTTAATACCTCCCTCACATGCATGCTTGATTCTTTTGAAACCTATATGGGAACTTCACACACCTCTAAATGTGGTTTGTTTCAAGAGAATAATTTATATATTATTTTTATGTACAAAAAAGTGTTATGCTATTTATATTGTGTAACCCTTTAAATTAGGACGATGATTCATGCACACCATCTGTTACACACCTGTTATACACTTTAATAGTTTTCGTTATATACACTGATAGTCTCTCGACTCACCTAACCCTTTCCATCCTCACTAGATCCATCTTCCTCCTCACCTCCATCCTTATCCTAATCATCTGTAAGACAATTATCAGCCCTCTACCAAGTTCCCACCTTCTTCCTTTTTTTTTCTTTTTTTTTATTCTTGGCTTCTCTCCGAGAACCCAGATCGTTTCTCCTAGAGAACCCAATCTGGGTTCTCCTGAAGAACCTAGACCTGGGGGTTTTCTTGGAGGAGGATGATGGAGGAGAGAGAGAGAGAAAAAAACAAAGAAGAAGAAAGAAAGAGGAAGAAGATAATGGATGAAAAGGATGGTAACAAAATTAAGTATAATTAACGAAAAATAACATAAATTACAGGATGTAATGGAGTGTATGGATAAATTAAATAACTTATTATTACCCTTTGAATTATTGTAGGGATAACAAATCTTTTAATATTGGGAGTTATTTTTTTATTTAATAATTCATATTTTACAATTTAATATAATTTAAACTACAAAACAAAGACCTCATTAAACACTCTTTTTTTCCCCTTAATCTTGGATTCCAAATGCAATGTCTTCATGATGTGTAAGGTTTGTCAAGTTCAGTTTAAAAAACACAATTATGAGCGGCGGGGCAGAGGAGCTTTCTCCACTGTTTTTTCACTGCTACTATAAAGTATAAGTTGCATTTATATAGGGCACGTGTCAAGAACCCATTTAAGGAAGAGGTCGGTACTCCAGGTCCAGGCTGCAGTTGAATATTGGAATGAATTTTGTCTGGATTTTTTTGGATATGTATGAAAACAAGTGTTCTTTCTATACATAGATACACATCTTAAAAATTAATTATTTAATATTATAAGAGTTTGAGCCATAAATTTTAAATTAAAATACTGATTCGATCAAGTTTTTATTAAGAAAACTAATGTTTAAAATGCAAAATCTATAGAAAGTGAGGCAGATAACCACCACACAACACTAAAACACTATAACCCTCCTTTCATTTCTGAGGCAGAAGAGGCGAATAACGTGGAACATTTTTGTTCATAACATATACATAGTGAAAGGCACTATTATGGAGTCAGAATGGACCGGTGTGAGGTAATATGATAGAAAATATTGTCTCTTGTTTGAAGTACAAATATATGGTTGGAAATTAATTGCATTTATTTTTGTTGTAATTGAACCATCTTTTTAGTCATATTGCCCGACAATATCTGTGACACTACTTCCTAAGATATATGTGATAGTGGGAAACATTGAATCTTGAAGTCGCCGTGAACCACGGCTTTACCGCCCATTAAAATCGCCCTTCTAAATGCTACACTCCTTGCCCATCAATGGGACAAACAGGAGCTCCCATTCTCTGGCTTCATCACTACTTTTATTCTATTTGTTCTCTCTACCCTCAGTTTTTCTAAGTACTCCAATTCTCCGCCTTGTTATGTTTGATGAAGAGGTAACTACTTCTAACCTTAATTCAGTTTTGACGAGACTAGGGTTCATTATATTTGTCTTAATGTAGTGTGCATAAAAAAAATAATAATAATGATTGATTGTAAGATAATTTTTTATTAGTTATCCATCCATGTAGAATATAGCCGCGTGATGAGCGCACAAACGGAACTATTCTTTACCAACGAGGGATTGGATCAAGTGATAAGCGGTTTATTTCAGTTTAAACAAGATCTTGAGTTCGAAACCTTGTGAATGCAGCAGCCCCCGCTGGGAGACTCATCCATCATTTCCAGGTGCGCGACGCGGGTCGGGTCCGGATTAATCGGGGCGAAACCCCGGATACCAGACAGGAAACCGAAAAAAAAAAAAAAAGAGGGAACTATTCCTTTGTCTTTAGCAAAAGAAAAGAAAATGGTAATTAACAAGTAATTAGTGCTATTAAGGTTGAAACAAAGAAATGGTAGGCTAAC